CTTATAACCCTAACGGCTCCGTCGGACGTAATGTAACGGCTCCACGGATTGTCCATTGGACCAATGGGTCCATTTGGGTATGGGTACGTCACTGTACCCAGGAAGAAAACAATGGAAAAAGAGAAATCTCCAACGAGGCGTTCTGGGGCAGCATAGACAGGTCTTTTCTGTGTTAGAGTTTTACTCCCTACAGGGTGTACTTTGAGGGTTTGTGACTCTGCAGACCGTTTACATGCATAACAACCTTCATAACACACAAGGGGACGGGTAATAACCAGAAAAGCATGACATGGGACCTTTAAATAAACTAAACGCTTTCATTTTAAGTTGTGAGTTTAGTGTTTTTGACCCTAAGAAACACTGATGCATTAATCAATAACAATAATTCACAGCTCCTCTCTCTGCTCCAGAGGATTTAAAAAATATATATCCCAACATCCCCCCCCTCTGCGCTCAGGCAGCACACCCCCAAAGCAGTAAACCTAGGGGAAACACTGGCACTTATATACTAACAAAGCACTTATACACTAACAAAAGACTGGCTTATCTAAAGCCAGTTGAGTAGCACTTGAAATGTTTTGGCTCTATGAAACCTGATGTACTTATATGATTCTGTTTTCTTCAAGTTTGTATCTTCTTGGTCGAATGCACTTATTGTAAGTCGCTTTGGATAAAAGCGTCAGCTAAATGCAATGTAATGTAACTAGGCTAAGACTAAGCAACAGTTCATACTTGACAGACGGAAAAAGCCTTCCTGTGTATCTCTAAAGAAGAATGCAGCTAACAAGGCAGAGCAATATGAGGAGTCTGGCCTCCCCACCGCAGCAAACATGACAGAAATGCTTCCTTCCACTGTCCCTAACAAAACACACATGAGATCTTGTCGGTTTCGGGTGTGGCTGGCAGGATATCATATCTCCCACCGACTCTCTCCCTTTTTCCTGTGAGACATGGACGAGGGGGGCGATCCGGACAACGTTTAAACTAGTCAAGCTTAGATTGTCACCAACAGTGGGGGAATCAGGCTAACTATAATGCAGTGAAGTGAATTAAACCTTGAACAATTATTAACATAATGTGGTGCCATGTCAGGTCTGACAAACCGAACAGGACAACTTCTGCAAGATATGACTGATTACCGGGGGAGAGTCATAGAGTATAGTGGTTCAGGAATGACGTATTTTTATAGACCGACTCGTAAGATAGTATTGCAACAAACAGAATGGAATTTTCATTGGAATTTGAGTTATGGTTACAAACATTTATGACACTTACACATGTGAATAATCTCCACATATAAACCAATTTTCAGATTTTTTAAGGGCAAACGTAATCACCACGCCAGACCTAAATGTTAGGATAATAACAAACTACATGATAGTCACATGACTTCACAGTCACTAAACTAAAGGCGCATATTGTTCGACATTTATTAGTTTCTATTCTGGTGCCTTGCTCAAGGACACCTCAGCAGTGCCAAGGATGTGAACTTGCACCGTTCAGACTACCAGCCCACTCTCCTGGTCCAAGCGGGACTTGGAAAATATGCTGCATTGGCCGAAAAAAGAAAATCCCTACGGACTGAGCTATTACAGAGTTATGTCAATGTACAATCATATCTTGTTTAATGTTATGTTTACTACAAATATAGGCCTGTAGATAGGCTGCAACTGAGCTGCAACTAGCCCTTCATTACATTATACATTCATCTTCCAATATTTCTCAATTAATTGTTAAGGATAGTGGTTTGATCTATAGATTATGAGCAAATTGTGTGAATTTCTGGAAACTCTACACTGCTTCAACTTTTCTTAGCACATCAACTTCGACCTACATATAAAAATTGTGTATTTTATTCTGTCACTGCTTCCAAAACCAAACTTTTCTAGTTTACGCTCATATATGACAAAGAAAATTGTATTGAGGTTACATATTTTCCACAAAGGATACAGCCCCACCTCTGGATATTAACATGTCTAATTTCTAAGAGCGGGTAGCATTGAGAATGTACAGGATATGCTTATACACATGAGTATTTTAGCAGCCTGTGGGTTTTAATGTGGACTTTGATACGAGAGCCATTCAACATGAAGAGTTGCATGTCATGATTTATCCTTTTTTTAAATAATTCATCCATTACTTTTCCAAGTCATTATTACATACATACATGCATTTATCTATACTCATAATGTGCTCTGTCCTGGAATATCTGCTGTAAAGCCTGATGAGCAGGAGGACATTCTCTAGCATTTCTACTTCATATGCCATTTCATTAGCAAACCACAGAAAACACATATTTTCCTGCCAGATAATGTGTTGCACATTGAGAGAGGTAATACAGGAATCAAGTTAACAGTTAACAGCACTAAACACAGCGTGACAGTCTGGGCCCAGTGCTCCGTTTGAAGTTTAAGAGCAAGGGACGCCTCTCGGACATCTCACCCGTGTAGAGCTAGATAAATTACCTTTCATTTTCAACGTTTTTTTCTTTGAACATAACAATAGTACAGTCCCACCTGTATATTTGCACTGCCTACAAGACCTGAGAAAGATGAAAAAAGGTCTGCTTTGCTCAAAACTAATCTATAATTCATTGCTTGCACTACTTTGGGAGCGGCCATTTGTTTTGCCTCCATAATAGTTACAGGTGGACTTTACCATGCAGGTGTACTAGCCCCAAGTCTCCTGAGAACAAAGGCTTTTTGTTTGGCTAGTGCGGTGCTGCAGGTGGTGTTGGAAGGACTCAGCATGTCCTTCAGCAGCGTCCTGACCTCATTATGGGACTTTTTGCCGCTTTTGCTCAACAGTCTATTCAAATGTTGTCTGTTGAAATAATCATACAAAAATTCAATGAGGCAGGAGAACTAATATATATTTACAGCGTACTGGATGAGCATGCAGGTTAAACAGGATGACTCACATATAAAATAAGTCATCACACAGGTACTACATGCGAGCCAACTAAGAAGGTGCTTTGGTTGATTGGAAACCATCCATGTGATAATGGCTGTAAAATGTCGTTTTTAAATCCTACATTTTCCTGAAACTAGCCAAACCGGTTAACTGCGTTTTGCTCATGCATCCCCCCCCAAATACACCAGTTACTCACTCCTGAAACCAGACCGTTGAGTCAGCGGGCTTACGAACATACCTGCTAGAGACACACCTTGCTCCAGTTCCGTAATTATGCAACACTCTCTGCAACTACTATTCACCTGGTGATGTTAGAAGAAAACGTCACAGTTTGATATGTACACAGTTGGTTTATCAATCAACTTCAATTATTTTCTTTCCTGGACTGTTCCTCAAGTTGCCATTATTATTAGTGGTGGAAAATAACTAAGTACATTTACTCCAGTACTGTACTTAAGTAGAATTTTTTTATACAAGACTTGTACTTTACTTGAGTATTTCAATTTTTTGCTGCACCTTTACCAGCTTTGATAACACTTTAATGCATCAATAATTATAAAACATATCATATATATTATTCTGAAATCGACCAATTTGCATAATGAGTAGTTTTACTTTTGGTACCTTAAGTATATTTTGATGCTAATACTTGTGTACTTTTACTTGATTTACATTTTGAATGCAGGATTTTTATATTTGTATACTTACAGAGTATTCCTACACTGTGGTAATTCTACTTTTACTATAGTACAAGATCCGAGTTCTCCAATCTCTGGTTATTATGCACAGGTGTGCTGACGCCTATAGAAACTAGTGTTGCCAGGTCTCATTGTTTACTGTAGGTTTATAGTAAACAACAAGCTAACCAGCAGTCATCAAACCCAAATACGACATTAGATACAACTTCATCCATTCCACTGAGAACAAAAAGGCGTTTTAAAGTCAGAGTTTCAAGTGATTCAGGCAATGTGATACTGTCAGAATGAAAGTTATTCACAAAGAAAACTATTAAAGCTCATTACAAAGCCGTACACATCATTGGGATATGTTTGGGAGATAAGTTAGCAGGTGTCTTAAAGAAACTCATGGAAGTTGAACTTAGACAAACACAATTGTGTGAGTTGCTATAAAGCAGAATATAATAATGTATGTATAAAAGCTAACACTTAAGACTTTTAAATATGCACGTTAACCTAATTTATAAGAGCTGCCTGAATCCTGGAGGAACATCAGTGAGTAAAGATTAGCCAGCTAGCCAGAGCAATGGAAGACTGGTGTCTGGCTAGCAACTTTAGTTAGCTTGAGTTGTAGGCGTTCACAACTAAAACACTGGCGGCTGTAAAAATATTAATTGTTAGCCAATTTGCTAGCAAGCAAACACCTGTGGGGTAACTCCCAACCCACCTGATTCAGAAGAGCCGTCGCTCAGCAGAGGTCCACAGTTCACAGCCGCTGGAGAAGAGTCCACACCCGGCCAGTGTCCGGTGCTTTAGTTCGCCAAGAGCTCCCTCCTCATATAAAGTGGTGGAAAATGTTACCAGGACGTAAACCTGTATTCTTGGTTTCAAAGGCAGCTTATTTGCCAAGGAAATATCACGACTGACCCCGGTTAAAGTGTAAAAGTGGGATTGGTGCTCTTTCTTTTCGCACCGCTGCGGTAGCCTCGGTGTTTCCTGCTAAGCTAAACTTCACTGTTTTGCTAACTCCTCCCTTGTGATACATTCAAGTGCACCTCGTTAAACTCAACTCCTTGCAAAGTCCCGCCCCACTTCCGCGTTTGCTTCCGTTCCAATATCTTTCCTAGGTCTAGCAGTCAGTCTTTCTAAAACATAGTATGCTACTGTATCTGCTTTAGTATTTATTTCTGTAACTGCACATATATACAGTCTTTAACCTGCAGGCTGTTTAAGACAAGAGGAATTCCCAGAAGCGTTATATTATCCTTTTTTACTATGGTAAAAAAAATGCCTTATTTTTTTACATTTAAATAATCTTAATTGATATTGCTAATTTAATTTTCATAAATGCAAACTGTCTGGAATGAAACCTAATATTCAACAATTCAAGAAGGAAAGGAAATTATATTCTGAAACACTAAAAGGATTTATTAACCAAAACCAAAAGAAGCAGCCAGGACAGGATCATCATCATCATCATCATCATCATCATCATCAAACATTTATGTATGACTTTTGTTATCAAAACATTTCTTACTTACACATCCAAACAGGACAACATTATCATCACAAGTGCGAGTCCTCTTGATAAGTGTTGCAATATTATTTAGACTCCTGAAAAAATGTCTAGCTATTAAAGCTGGTAGTGTACAGTGGGTTAGTTGATGCATGTTGCTGCTGAAAATAAAGTTGATAAGAATGCTGAAACTACAAATCAAATATGATTTTAGTTTTAAAACTAAAACAACAAGCCTGCACAGACTGTGAAAATAATCACTACCAGAGACCCTTTCACAACATTATATCGACATATGTTAATATTCAAAATGAATCAAAGAAAAATGTCATTATAAAAAAGTTGCACACCTTCATCATCCAGAGCAGCCTGTTTTTCAAAATACATGTAAGACGTGATGATACAAAGAGTTGCTGCAAGTTAGCGAGAAGATGATGAAGCATTGAATTACCCAAACACAAAAATCTCATAATAAAAAGTCACTAATAAATGCTTTACTGTGAAGGCACTTTTTGTATGCAAAACATGTCATTTTGAATAATGATAATTGAGAAGAAAAACCAAATATGAAATGCTGTATATATGAAAAAGGAATGAGTCAGAGATGTGTTGATAAAGGTCAGGGCAGACTGAGGACCCGAGCTCCCTCTGAAGGAGTTGTGACGTAGAAAGTCGCGGTTCCACTGTATCGCTCCTGTAAAATACACAAACATACAACACAAACACAATGAGAACATTAACCCAATGATACTTCTGAAAAACAACCCCCTAATGTGAGTGTTAAGCATTAAAGCTGCATCTGAACATACTGTTGTCAAGAATGTAAATACGAAATATGAAACATGACTGTCCATCCAGAAGAGCTGCAGACATTCATGCATCTCTCAAAGTCCTGGGACGGAAGGTGAGAAAAAAGGGTTTTGATTTGCAACCCGACAAATTCCTCTTAAACTGTGACCTATTTTATACATTCTATGGCCGAGATGCAGCAAACTACAGTTACACATTACGTCCATAAATCATCTGACAATGTCATTCCAAGCCCTCCCACCAGGAGTGAGCACATTATTAAAGAGTATAAGTACAGATTGATGAGAGAACATGGCAAAAAAGTCACCCAAAAAGTGGAATTTTATTTTTTCCATTCATATCAACTATGGAAAAAGGCCAGCAATAACTTTGCCTTTAAAATCAAAACTATGTCAGTGACATAAAAACTGAGAGACAAAATATAACTGTATTTATGTTAAGGGTGTAGGATTTGTAGTTGTAAAAGGGGTTAGAGCGTACTGTGGCGACTACGCTTTCTACCTCAAAAGTGTAACCACACATCGGGGCTGTGGCTTCAGAGATAACATGTGTGGATACAAGGCCAAAGTCTTTGGAAAACACACTTATTTGCTTATTTAAAGTCGGATGACACTCTCTTGTCTTAGTAATAACTGGAGCAAGAGTTGCAAGCTTATTTTCTCAGCTTAGCATAAAGCCTGGAAACAGACTTCAGATCTGTTGGTAATCAGCTGTTCACAGTGACCGAAGGGTCCGCTGGCTGCTGGACATCCTGAAGGTGGGACGAGGGTCCAGAAAGTCATTGTGTTCAGAGAGAAATACTTCAAGCTAATTACGCCATGTCTGCTTCAAAGTGTTTCAGGAGGTAGAACAACAACATTAGACATTTGTTAGGCCTCAAGAAAAACACACAAAGACAAAAGAGTGCTATCAGCCCTCTCACCAAACTCTCCCAATGTTCTGCAAAAACAGGGAACAAGCATATTTCCCAAAATGAGATTTGTATTATACTGTGCTTCACATATTGTAGTAAATGAACAATATATTTCACAGGTGGATCTAAAGTGTTGTGTTGGACGTAGAAGAAAGTGCTAACCCAGATTTAACACAATTTGTTATCCATTATGGTTAACACTGTGACATTGTGACAGACACAGAGACCGACAAAAACATATATTTCCGTATTATTTCAAACACCCCTAAAGGCTAACCTCAACCCTAACCTACTGGATTCACTGGTTCAGTTGTGTCTAGAGAGATCAAACCATAGTTCATCCACTTGGCATGTTCTGGTGTTTTTTTACTTGATGTTCTTGGCGCAGATCTTAGCATTTGATAAGACGAAGCGAGGTGCAGTTGAGGATTTCCACAGGATCAGGCATCACCAGATCCACCTTGAAGCCTTCGGCCAAAGACAACTTCAGCAGCTCCTCCACAAAGCCCTGCATGTCTGTGATCTCACGGTGCGCGTTGATGTCACCTGACTGCGTGACCTCGGCGTTACACACCGTCAGCCCCTGGTAGCGCTGCTTGTCGTACTGCTCCTGCGGGAGCTCCTCAGGCCGTGGCACCCACTCCAGTTTCAGCCGGTTCTGCCTCGGGTTGCATGGATGGGGGCTGGTGAGACCTTTGGAGGTTTTGTAGGAGAAGCGCTCACAAAGAAGGGCCATGAAGGCTCTCCAGGTACAGAAGAGCTCCACTGTGAAGGCTGCCACTAGGCATGTGCGCAGCTCGTAGTTCTCCGGCGCGTGGCGTAAGTTAAAGTGAAGAATGCGGACCTGGAAGGAGAGGGAAAAATACGTGACTGCACATTATCCAGAGTGTACACAAAGAACCGGTCTGTCCATGTCTCTGATTGTACAAAGTCATGCACAAACACCCTCTGCTGACACTGTATGTATGGTAAACATTGCCAGACTTCCTGAGGTTGGTGAAGGCCACCATGATAGGCGCTAAAACATTCTTATCAATATTTTTAGTTGAGACCGATCACACATTACAAAAGTTAAATAACAGAGGAGCTAGTCTAATGCTGTAACTGCTCCCTGTTTGAAATCAATTTTATCGATATAAAAAAAATCTTTATGCATATATGCCATTAAAAATATTGTCATATCACCTAACCCTATATAGGTGTATTGCTTTTAAATCATTCTGGCAGGAACCAGTCCGATTACACTTATTATGATGAAACACTGAATCATAACAATTGTGTCTATTGTAAACTAATGTTAATTAATATATCATTATCGAACATTTATTAAAACTCAAATAATGGGCCTCATACAAGATAATTGTTATTCTTAAGGATTACTTGAACTTGTGTTCTTAGTCACATTAGCCAAATTCTCTTAACTGGACAATCCTCTTGTAAATATTTATAATAACATAATTATAATAATAATTGAACCCTTTCGTGATGTAATAATTTGCATGATCAATGTCTCTAAGTGGCAACATAACCTGTTCCCTCCTGTTTGTAGGAAAGTGTCAGTGTTTGTTAAGTGGTTCTACCATGAGGCCCATTGACTTGTATTGTCAAACAGAAATTGTGCTATTACTTAAAAAAACATACCTTGGACTCCACATTGACCATGATCATGGCTCCTAGGGGCCCTCCTTTGAGGCTGAGAGGCACTGCTGCCTCGTAGCGGCAGAGTTCCTCCAGCAGGGGGCGTATCTGGAAGAAGTCCACCTCCCTCCGCAGCAGTGCCAGCTCTGAGAAGCCGTGGGGCAGGTCCAGGGCGCTGGAGCGCAAGTAATTCAGAATGTACCGGAAGACTTTCCCGTCACGGTCGATGAAGACATTTCCTCTGCTGTCTCTCAGCACGGGGATCTGCCCGGTGAACATGGCCCCCAGCATGGAGTCCTGACAGCGGGTCAGAGTGTCCAGGGTGGTGGTGTAAATCTCCCCCCCTACGTTCAGAGACACCGGGTCCTGCAGAGAGCTCCTGTTGCTGTTCTCATCCGATGAGTTGAGGTTGAGCATCCTGGAGGAAAGCTGTGGCTCTTTGTGGTCCTGTGGAGTTTCTCTGCTGTTGTTGGAGGATCCTTCTGCTGTGGTCAGGAATGCTGAGGACTGGGAGATGTGGAGGTTTCAAGTGCTTCTTTTGTTTCCAAAAAAGACTTGTCTCCTTTGACAGTTAGCAAGCCAGAGTAGTATCCAGGATACGGCCACGTTAGGAAAGATGTGAAGAAACGTGCCAAGTCTGCTTGCAAAGCTGAAGAAAACCCTTTAAAAACCTGAGTTACAACATATAACAGGTTGCTGCCCTTTTCCATCGCATTGTTGCCATGCAAATAAGTCATCCCTATTAATGCAGGTGTCTCCCGTGATTTTCGGCAGTAAATGTACATGTTTGTTGAAGTTTCTCAAACAGCAGGCCCACAGTCTGAGAGCAGAAAGGAAGGAGGGCCACAGTGACCGGACTAGCATGCTAATAACTGGACACTTGTGGCTTCACGAAGCTCGCTTTTATACTCGGCTCAGACCACCCCGAGCTCTCACACACACACACACACACACACACACACACACACACACACACACACACACACACACACACACACACACCACACACACACACACCACACACACACACACACAACACACACACACACACACACTACACACACAACACACACACACACACACACACAGCACACACACACACACACACACACAGCACACACACAAACACATTACACCCACACACACACACACACACACACACACACACACACACACACACACACACACACACCCACACCACACACACACACACACACACACACACACACACACACACCCACACACACACACACACACTGGAGCTGCCTGGGCAAGACACTGGGGACTGAGCAATTTGTCTGAAATGCATCCCTTAAAGTGACAGACGGACTGAAAGTGCCATTTATCCACGGTGAAGAATTGAACAATGGCCTCAGACCCTTTTGATTTTAAATACCCTTTGGAAAACAGAAACTTTCCAGAAAACAGAATTATAAAAACTGAAAAAGTACATTTTACAACTAAACAGAAAAACTGATTTTGTTGCACCTGTATTGTGTCCATATTTAACAAGTTCATTACTGCTCTACAAACATGATCTTCTTAAGTAGGTGGTATTAAAAAAAAGTTCAACTGACAGCAGTAGAGTCAGAGAGCTTGACAGGATGTCAGCGTGTGTGTGAATGTCATCCACAAAAAACATACAGTATGTTCAATTGTAAATAGAGATCTAAATCATCTACTTGCTGTCAGGGGTAATATTTTGAGTCACAAGAGTAAAATACACCCATTTCCAAAAAGAAAGCGATGGATGAGAGGATAGAATCTAAATCATCTGGAGATCATGTGCTCTCAGAGACCGAACCGGTGTTCATTTCACTATTGAAATCATTCTAGTCAAAATATTTGTTGAGAATTGTTTTGTTTTTTTAACATAAGACAGGTATAACATTTTTGGGTAACATATTCAGACCTAACAAATATCTGAAAGACAGAGGAATAGCAATGAACTACTTTCTGTTTTAAGTCTTATTCACTGACCCGCAGCTCATGATTAATAAAACAGTTTCCTGCAGCGCACAAATATATAGCTTGTTTATGAGTTGATGTATCTGCTTGAACTGTTGCTGTACTGATAAAGAGCCTCCTACTGTAGATTCAGAAACGTTCTGTCTCTGTAAGGAACATTACCTCATGTCACTAGTTCTGGAAGGAATAGGTGCTGAGCACCCCCATCTGTTGGCGGAGAGTTGTAACTGCAACGCCAAAAAGTTCACTAAACAAATCAATACAAAAGTTTTATTTTGAGTTACTATTTTTGAGTTAGCATTTTAGTGTAAGCAGTCTATAAAAAGCTTCACTATATAAGAGAAAGTGATAATGCGGTGTGCTTCTTCTGTTGCTCTGCTATAGAAAAGAAGCTCGTCAGTGCAGACAAGATCAGGGATGGGAGTTTTGTGAAAGCAGGGTTTAACAACTGGCGAAAGGCAAAATGTAGGGAGCATGAGAAGTCCCATCAACACACAGGCCGTCAACAAACTGGCAGCATTAAAACAAACACCGATGAATGCACTGCTCTCACAAGCTGTTGCTAAAGACCAAATGACTGCATTTAATATGACGTTATTATACAGGGCCGCCCCTCCCTACACGCAGATCACGCAGACTGCGTGGGGCCTCACCTCGCGGATGGGGCCTCATTTTGCGGAGGGAGCCTCGCTTGAAGCACAAACGCGGCGCCTACAGTGTAAGCGCCACAGTTTCGCCGCTGCGAGGCTCCACTAGCACCTACACAACACATCAGCCCCATTGAACAGCCTAGTCGTGCCAGCCTATACAGCACATGAGGGGCAGAGCTTTACTGTGTGTGTGTTGCAACTTGCATATTTATTTATTGCACTTGACGCACACACACGCATGGCGTAATTTCCACTGGGGACAGGGGGGACATGTCCCCCCCCACTTTTCGAAATCCCGTTTGTGTCCCCCCACTTTATAAATATGTTTATTATTATTTTTTAACGCAAGCCGTCATCGCCACGGAGGAGCACACAGTCTCTATGAGCGAGCGAGACAGAGAGAGAGAGAGAGAGAGAGAGAGAGAGAGAGAGAGAGAGAGAGAGAGAGAGAGAGAGAGAGAGAGAGAGAGAGAGAGAGAGAGAGAGAGAGAGAGAGCACACCTTTATCTATTTAATATAGATAAAGTAAGAAATCATTCCAATGTGTATAGGACAGTAAAAAAACAGTTTGAAAGGGGAGTGATTAGTAAAATATGCATAAATAGAAAGAAAGAATGCTAACTAGGTAACATAAGATAAGAATAAACAAGTTTAAATGATTTGTTATTGGTTGTGATCATATTCTAAAGATGTTTGGATTATTGAAAAGTATACAGCTCCCTTTGAGTGTTGAGAGCTGTTTCCATCAATTCATGTTGTGCTCAAAGTGCACCAGATTGATGCATTTCACTTTAACATTTAAAAATAATCTTCCAGGATGTGAGGTCCACCCCCCCCGGACCCCCCTAGAGGAGGTGAGGTCCACCCCCCCCGGACCCCCCTAGAGGAGGTGAGGTCCACCCCCAAATAAAGCAGATTAAAATAATTAAATTGAATACATGTTCTTTTAGTAAACACTGCAAACGGGTCCCACAGACCCAAACAGCACACAAAGGTTAAAGGTCAGCATATCATAATGTTAAAACGTGCTAAATATATACACTGCAAAAAACAATAAAAAGAGGAGTAAAAGTAGCTCACGACTTGTTTTATTTTGTGAAAGTAGCTCTCATCCTAAAAAAGGTTGGTGACCCCTGATCTACAATATACTACAAATAGGAATAGAGAACCAGTTCCTGTTGAGAACCGGTTCTTAGATGATTTAGATCACCTGCCACAATTGATGAAGAATCAATGAAGAATTGCATCATTAAGAAGAATCAATAATGGAATTGTATGGATAAAGATGTACATATGCCCTTCCATACTATCCACTGATTATGGGATTACGAGGAATTGATGTTAAACAAGAGGCAGAAGATATCGCTAACAACTATGAAAGGTAAGCTAATGTAGATGTAACGTTAACATTATTTGTCTTTGATCTATGATGTTATATCAGAAGGAGTGAGGAAGTTCAGTGATTAATAAGGACAGTAAACCCTCCCTCTGAATGTTCACTATTAACATAACACTGCGCTATCCAATGTTTCAGCTTATTCTCTCGGGCTAAACCCAGACAGTGGAAAGTATTCAAGTGAACATGTGAGAAAATAACCTACTGACTCAGGTAGCTGTGCTCATGCTAATGCAAGGCCAGCAGGAACAACAGAGAGGAAGTGCTTCTGTTCACACAGATGGCTTTTACAACCATCAGTCAGTATGTTGTTCCACTACCAATTGAAGATTTGCCTCCATCCTTCTGGTTAGCGCTAGCTACATTCCAGGACCAGCAATTTATGTTTTGTTTTGGATAAAAAGAAAAATGTCCCTCAAACGCAAAAGGTAAGTGCCCCTTTAAAGGTAAGTGCCCCTTTCTAACACAATACGAGGGTAAGGAAACTTTCCAAAAGGTTTTTTGTTGTGAGGGCATCTTTGTCCCAGGGCCCTATAAACTCCACTCTCTGAAAATGGCCACGCAAACAACACAATCTTTGTGCATATTGTAGAAAAAAAATTCAAGTTTCGTGTAAAGACATGGTAACATGGAATGATCCCCAAGTGTGAGAAGCAACTGAAGTTGTGTTGGTGGTAGCCCGATACAGCAGTTTCCCAATATGTCCTAAACTTTTACAGTACAGTACAGTACTTTTAAGAACTGAGAATGCATGTATAAAGCTTATATTGTTCTTTTCGACTAACTCCCAGTATGAGAGCAAACTAACTATTAGCCAAAATGTTAAAGCCTTAAACAACAAATATTTGATTGATAATATTCCTGATAACTGACAAACATTACACACACAGCTCTAAAAAAAATTAAGAGACCACTGTAGCATTATCAGTTTCTCTGGTTTTACTATTTATAGGTATGTGTTTGAGTAAAATTATTTTGTATTTATTTTATTCTATTAACTACTGACAACATTTCTCTGTATTGGAATTCAACAGACACTGGAATGGAATGGCTGCTGTACATGTAGTGATTGAGATTTGAGAACAATTTCAAGTTGTCTCTTGATGTTTTTCAGAGCTGTATGATCTCTTCAGTGCACAGTGTGAGTCAAAGTGTGTGTGGACCTGTATGTGCAGTATAGTCCTGTCGATGGCGCCAGCCTGCAGCAGGGTCACGGTGCATCCTCCAAACCCTCCGCCCGTCATCCGGCTGCCATACACCCCCTCCACCTCCAGGGCGGCAGACACCAGCTCATCCAGCTCCCTGCAGCTCACCTCATATAGGTCTCTGATGGGGGGGGGGGGGGGGGGGGGGGGCAGCACGTTAGCTCACTCCTCCCACATTCTGTCCTAATAGTGACTCTACACCTGCTGTGGTGTACCTCAGTGAGTTGTGGCTCTCCACCATCAGCCTGCCGAACACTTTGTATTCTCCTCTCCTCAGAGCCTCAGCAGCCTGGACCGTCCTCTCTATCTCCTCAATCACATGACGCGCTCTGCGGACGGTGACCTCATCCACTCTGTCGCCGGCCTCTGAAAGGATAGGGACTGTTGGGGCTATATATTGATTCATATTATTTCATAGTTAAACATTTATTTTCTTACTGTTTTTGTTTATTGTTAATGTACCTTTTTATTTTAGTGTAATTTCCCTGCGTAAGATTCGCCTTCTGGGGCCTCAGCGGCAGATTTACTTTGGAGTGAATTTTATTTTTTCTTTATTTATGGTTTTGCACGCTACAGGGATAGGGTGGTCGGCACGGGGTCTGCCCTCGATCAAGAGAAAACCTCCAGCTTGACTTGAGACCGCCCCCGTGATAAATACATTTAATTATAATGAAGCCAGCTGCAATGGATCATTGATCCACCAGGGAGTGCAGTGGGGTTCCACACTGGAGCTCATGTGAAATAAAGTTTGATACAGTACACTGGATGTACAGTATGTCTGGTACTACTGTATAGCGGATCTTTGTTAAGATCCATATGTCACGGATAGGATCATACTCTGTGCTAAATAAGACATGTAATCATTTACAAAACATGAGACAGACACTGACGCTGTCAGAAGAGAGGGAGGAAAAAGAGAGGACAGGCTCCGTGTATTTTATTATTATATATAGTCGTTATTCATTTGTTTTAAAGCTCAATAAATAACAAAGAAGACCTTTGACCGGCACTTTTATAATTTTGTCCGGAAGATTTAAACTTTAACACACGTTGACCGGCGAAAAACTCTGCCCGGTTCCCTCGGCCCCCACCACGGTGAATAAACAGAAGGGCAACCATGACAACCATTCTTCTTCGCTGCTTTTGTGGAGGAAGTTACAGCGCTACGTACAGGCTCGGCATATGTACTGCAGCTTTTCCAGCGGTTGGATGTAAACGGAGCCGTCTCGTGTGAACAGACACTATCCGGTGTATATTGCGTGTGGACGGAAGCTTTATGGCGATTGCGTTTGCGTTAATCCTATGCGTTTTGCCGTATGCGTTCCCGTGGGGCACCAGCCTTAGGCAGGTCTTAGGCAGGAAGCTGTAAGCTGGAGTCCTATCTGGAGTGCTACATCTGTATATATATATATATACACACACTACCAGTCAAAAGTTTGGACACACCTTCTCATTCAAAGTTTTTTATTTATTTTAATTGTTTCCACTTTGTAAATGTATACTGAAGACATCAAAACTATAAAGGAACACATATGAAATTATCTAGTAAACAAAAAAGTGTTAAATCCAGAATATGATTTTTATTTAGCTGGCTACTGCAGAATGTTGTGGTAGCCATGCTGGTTAAGTGTGCCTTGAATTCTGAATAAATCACCAACAGTGTTACCAGCAAAGCCCTCCCCCACACCATCACACTTCCTCCTCCATGCTTCATGGGGGGAACCACACATCCAGAAACCATCCGCTCACCTTCTCTGCGTCTCACAAAGACACGGAGGTTGGAACCAAAACCTCAGATTTGGACCCATCAGACCAAAGTCCAGATTCCACTGGTCTAATGTCCAGTCCTTGTGTTTCTTGGCCCAAACTATTCTCTTCTTCTTGTTGTTCATCCTCAGTAGTGGACCTTTGCAGCGATTGGACCCTGAAGGCCTGATTCACGCAGTCTCCTCTGAACAGTGGATGCTGAGATTGTCTGCTGCTTCAGCTCTGTGATCATTTATGTGGGCTCTAATCTGAGGTGCTTTCATTAGCAGTTTCTGAGTCTGGTAACTCTGATGTATTTATCCTCTGAGCAGAGGTAACTCTTGCTCTTCCTGTCCCGGGGGGGGGGTCCTCATGAGAGCCAGTCTCATCATAGCGTTCGATGGTTTTTGAGACTGCACTTGAGGATACATTCAAAGTTCCTGACATTTTCCTGATCGACTGGCCTTCATTTCTTAAAGTGATGATGATTCTCTTTACTGAGTTGAGTGGTTCTTGCCATAATATGGATTACAACAGCAGTCAAATAGGGCTTTCCACTGTGCACTAACTCTGCACAACACAACTGATGGTCTCAACACATTAAGAAGGCAAGTCATTCCACAAATGGACTCTTTACAAGGCACACGTGTTCATTGGAAACCATTCCAGGTGACGACCTCATGAAGCTGACTGAGAGAAGCCAAGAGTGTGCAAAGCTGTCATCAAGGCAAAAGGGGGCTACTTTGAAGAATATAAAATATAAATCATATTCTGGATTGTTTAACACTTTTTTGTCAACTAGATAATTCCATATGTGTTCTTTCATAGTTTTGATGTATTCAGTATTAATCTACAAAGTAGAAACAAATTAAAATAAACAAAAACCATTGAATGAAAAGGTGTGTCCAAACTTTTGACTGGTACTGTAAATATCTGGGAAAGGGAAACGGCTTCTTTTGAAATGTAGCACCCTAGGTTCCTCCCTCCAAATTGAAGGGCAGCCGGCTGACAGCCAACTGACAGCCCACTGCATCATAAAACCCAGATAGTCTGCCCCCCCTCCTCCTGTGTCCTGACGCCGTGTCTCGATTCCTCTGTAAATGTATTCCTTTAATTGCAGAGTGCTTTTCATCACAAAAACAAATAAACCAGCTAAGGTATGCTGAGGAAACGCTGTTTTTGCTAAGGCCATGGTTCACACAGTATGTTTCCTAGACATGCATTAGTTGCTGGAACTTCAATAATGATTGCGGCCCATTAGTTGTAGCCCAATAGTTATTCATCACATAGATTTACCTGCATCAAACCCTGATTATTAGTGGTGGAATGTAACAAAGTACATTCAACATATGCACTCTTAGATGTAATGCAAAGCATGCAATTATTTCTATAGTCCTTAGTGAATGTTTGTATTTTTGGTGCTATTAATAATCAGTCAAATCATTCAAGAGTCAAAATCAGTTGAGCTACCCATAAGTTCATGAAGTTATTAAAATACGCTTCACATAACCAGCTGTAACCATAAAGTGATGAACACATGAACATGCTTTCTAATGGTTCCTTTTTGTCTACAAGTTGAAATACTTCTCTTGCACATTGTCTTGCTAGACAAAAATCTAAAAAACAAATGTGCCTTGGCTACTGCCACTATATAGCTAGTTATATATTCAGCTTTAGCTAAACTGAGCAGCTTCAAAAGTATGTCATTTTAGAAAGAAAATGTACCTCTGCTGACATTTCACTTCCTGTCCTCGGACTACAGGCTGCAGTTATAAGAAGAAGTCGGTTTAGATTTGTATCCACACAACACTGTCCACTCAGCTATCAGTCAAATAAAAAGAGTCTACACGCTCAATAGCCTGGAGGCTAAAACGGAATTTCTGGCTCCGTCAGAAAAAAATGAAAAGGTTTTAATGACTTGTTGGGAGTTGTGTTTTTTTACTTTGCACAGAGCCAGTCTAGCACTAAAACACTGTACGAAACAAGAGGAGACAGGGCAGTGAAAGATGGGACAAGACAGAATGACATCACTGGAATGGAAGAGGATAGGATCAGGCAGGATGCTAACCCAGGACAGGGGAAATAAAAAGGAAGTGGAATATCAAGGTTTAGCTCAGGAGAATAAGAACTAAACTCCTCACCCTCCAGGTCCTTCATGGTGGCGTCTCTGAGACTGCTCTTCCCCATGGCGGAGGCGGCCTCCTCACAGCGCCGGCGCCTCAGGGGATACTCACTGCTGCTCAGAGAGTGCTTCACGTTGGAGTTGGTGATGAGAATGATTAGGCCTGGGTCTGCCAGAGGGACAGGGGTGGCCTCCAGGGACCTGAGTACAAACACAGGGACGCGGGAAGTCAGTCAGAGTTGGGGGTGCGGGTGCAGGTGCAGGTGCGGGTCTTTAGCAACAGCTTGTGAGAGCAGTGCATTCATCGGTGTTCGTTTTAATGTGCCAGTTTGTTGACGGCCTGTGTGTTGATGGGACTTCTCATGCTCCCTACATTTTGCCTTTCGCCAGTTGTTAAACCCTGCTTTCACAAAACTTCCATCCCTGATCTTGTCTGCACTGACGAGCTTCTTTTCTATAGCAGAGCAACAGAAGAAGCACACCGCATTATCACTTTCTCTTCTATAGTGAAGCTTTTTATAGACTGCTTACACTAAAATGCTAACTCAAAAATAGTAACTCAAAATAAAACTTTTGTATTGATTTGTTTAGTGAACTTTTTGGCGTTGCAGTTACAACTCTCCATGTTCAAACACAAACAAGTACCTGATGTAAATATGTAGTTCCTCTGTCTATGAAAGACCATTTTAAACAAGAAGAGACTAAAAGTAATCTCCATGTTGGATTCATCTCCCTGTTTAAAGTACCTGCAGTCGATGAGCAGGGCGTGGCCCTCCCTGCCCAGAACAGACACAAACTGATCCATGATGCCGCACGGGACTCCAGCGTGAGAGTGCTCTGCCTGCTGACAGGCCACCGCTTTGGAAACCTTGTCTCCGTCATCTGAAAGATCAAGAAAGATTCATCTTTAATAAAAGAGATCCTGGCCTGTATACCTTAAGTTCAACTAGAAATAAAGTTATTTAAAGAATAAACTGCAGCAGAACTTCAAAACTGTTATATCGCTATATGACCGCTGGATAGCCTAGGGTTTAGAGGCGGCGGCCCAATGCAGTCACCGCTGCCTGGTAGGCCGGTTCGATTCCCCAGCGGGCCAATTCAGGCAATGTCCTCCCCTCTGTCTCCCCCTTCACTCTAAGATCTCCAATAAAGGCACGCTGGCCCAAAAACTGTAGCATTGCAAAGTCAGTCTACACCAATAAATCAGTTTGCTGCTTTTGGGTTTTCCTTTCAAATCTCTGTACACCCTCTATCTCTGATATGATTAGGAATCCTCCCTGACTGCACTGAATATCAGAGTTGGTTTTGATTTTGATTTTGGAAAAAAATGATATTATTATTATCTCTGCAATAAATATTGCAAAATAGAAAATACAGGAATGTTGACCAAATGCCTACAAACTTCCTTATGTTCTATCAGAAAGACTTCTGTGTAGATAAGTTAATCTACAACAATGGAGCTGTGCACGATCCATTTTGTATCAAGCAGCAGATTTGCAGCATGGTGTGTTTGAGTCACATTGCATTCAGTCTAACTACTGCACAGATGCTGGAAGGATATCTGGTGCAGCTCCATCACACTGCTCTGTCTCTGATCTCAGACTCTCACCTGGCTGGAGTTGCTGCAGGAATGTGTAGAATGCCACCTCCAGAGAGGCAGAGCTGGACAGGCCCCCCCCCAGGGGGACACTGCTGGCTATCACCGCCCTGAACCCCGGGACAGGAGGAGCTGCAGACAGAGAAAGAACACGTTGAAGCAAAGTACAACCAAAGCAGGACGAGATCAACATGCTCCTGCAGTACATGTCTTCTCATTCACTGACAAACTCCTGTAGTATTATTATCAGTTCTATTTATTTTCCTTGAACTACGGTAAATCCCAGGTAAAGTTTTCTAGCTATTGGCAGTCATTGTGTACCCCTGTAATGCTCGATAACACCCTTCACGTAGTTGGCCCAGCAGGGTAACCCTGGAGCCAGCGGGGCCCCATCAGCAGGCAGGCTGAAGTCCACTCTGTGGGGCTCATCAGCATCCTCAGTCGCTGTTACCACGGTAACATCCCGGCCACAGGTTTGACTCCCTACAACCACAGTCACCAGGGGCAGTGCCTGAGTCACCAAACACAGAGAGGAAATATTTAGCCAAACTCTTTTAAAATCAGGGAGTATGCTGATGTTACTGATGAGAGGAAGACTGCTGGTAATACAACATCACAGACAGTCAGTGAGGTGTGGCAGGGTGCACGGTTTGAGTGTCCAACAGTGGAGTTAGGCCTTGTCCTTGAGCCTTACCTGTTAAACCCTGAGCCTGTTTTTCAGGTCTCAGGCACGAAAATGACATTCCCAGAACAAATGACTATATCTACACTTCTAAAAGGGGTGAATGCATAATCTTTTTTCTCAAAGCAATGATAAACCTGTGAGTTGGATGTAAAAAAGTCAGAATCAATATAGATTTTTTTTATTTTAATGTAAATTCAGATTGAACATAGTAAAGAAACGTAAATTATAGTGTCCGTCCACATTTTTTTTTTACTTATAGTGAAAACCACCCTTGAATGATGGGATAGTAGACTAAAAGCTTTAGGAATCCAAACTATAACATATAATAAGTACCCTGTATCAAGATTGATGCAAAACAAGTGAAATTTGACCTTTTTAGAGAGATTTAGAGAAAGAAAACCCACTTCTGGGGTCATTTGGGTGGATTTTCCATATCTCTGGCCCCCCTCGTTCGATTTTGATGATTGACACCTCTTTTGAACCGTTAGAGCCAATAGAATCGAGGGGAAGTCCCTAAAATCCATCTAAACATTACCCATTGGTGAATGAGTGCTGCGCAGCCAGAATGCCCCGGAACCGGAAGCTGCGATACACTCTGGTGGCTACCATTAGCAGCTAATTTAAAATCTCAGATTTTTACATAAAAATTGAATTATGGATTATCAATAATTTTAATAAGTGACACAGACACATTGGATTAACCTTCAGCCGCGTTTTTATCGTTTTAATGCCATTGAACATGACTTTTGATCAGAAACCAACAGCTAAAGTGAGAATATCTCCGTGAATGCTCCGTGTTTGCTTCCCCTGTCGCGAATTCTGATCGCTCAGTGATGATACTAATACCTATAGAATCTGTGGAATCTCAGCTTTAATCGGATATCTTGTATGTGCAGTTACGATAAGTAATAAGGGTATTTTTACCTTGAGTTCTGTGCTAAGTGCGTTAGCATTTTTTCGCTCAGGGCTAATTTAGACGCTTCTTGTGAGACTTGTGCTTTGTTTTGGTAAAATGGTTCATATCTTCAGTTAGCTGAGTTTCTAACCGTTAAGTGAGTATGACACATTAATAGGTTTTTAAATATTAAGAAGCCCTGAGACACAGTTTGGTGAAAAAACTACCCGCCAGACCCGGATTAGGGTCCTCACGGGCTTAACAGGTTAAAAGTCCATTTCTGACAGCTTCTGGTACACAACGCCCTTACAAAAATCCAGAGGTAGGGCACCATTACCATCATTCAAATTACACATTTCACCTAAAATTGTAAAAACAAAATAGGCCTACTCACTTCTAGATGTTTTAGTGCAGAGTTGTAATATATGACGCATTGAAATGAAGTTATTTGCAAAGTCAGCAGTCTTTGTTCCCTTTCGAGTATGTATGCATATCCTGCATTTCTAGTATACAAGTTGTTATTGAGTCCATTAATATATTGTTTATTTTGCTTCTGGGTTTCCCATAAACCCAGGAATGTAATAATCCTTTGCCTATATGTCTTTATTCTTCCATGTAATGTGTTCCAAAATATGGATTATACAGGCCAGAGTTCTGAAAAGTTGACAAAACTCTGAAATTGTCTGTCTGTCTGTCTGTCTGTCTGTCTGTCACAACATTTACCGATGTGTAGTTGAGAGTGAACGTAGAGTCTAAGGGCCTTGTCCTAAACAAAACATAAATATATCCGTGCCAGATGTGATGTGGGACCTGAACAGTGCTGGTGTTACCATCGGCAGCACGAAGCCCTGGTTGTAGTCGGTGTGCTCTCCGATCAGGTTCACCCTCCCTGGGGCACAGACCGCTATGAGCGGAGCATCCCCCCCGAACAGCTGCTCGTACCGCCGCCGAGCCACCGCGAACAGCTCCGACACAGTGGGGACAGAACCGGCCATGGAGCCGGACACTTCTGACACTGGGTAGAAACTACTTATATCAATGAGACATGCGCAGGACAGACACAACGAGTATTTTCTGAAGTTAAAAGCTCAGAAAGTGGCTGAGATATATGCATGAGAATGTGAGGATCTTCTGACATGTCAGGTGCTCTTTACTTCCTGGAGGTGTGGCCAAACAGTTTGTTATGAGGCTCTGATTGGTGGTAACCAGTCACATGACACAGCTTGATATTTCAGCTCTTCCACGTTAATCTTTTCTTTTTTTTTTTTGAGGTATCGATCAGTTAAACTTGTTTTGAGAAAAAAGGTCATGGTATTTGTTTTCACGTATGTCCTTATTACCTTTTTAATAAAATAAGGTAAATAAATAAAATAAAGTTGCACAAAATGGAAATACCCAAGTGAAGTATCAGGTGATCTTGAACTTTACAAATCTGTTGTCATCACATAAATACAGATATTATATTACACTCACTTGGTTTCATGTAGTTATTTTTTTATTTGCCTTTCCTTAAAAGGAATATGAAGGAAGAAACTATTTTTTTACCAGGCAAATCTAATGGGAAGACATTAAGCACATATTAATCAAACAAGAAATCCATTGTAATGGGAAAAGGATTTAATGTATTTTTAAATTGTCTGTTTTTTGTTGAAGGAGCACAATGGCAATGCAACTTTATTGAGTTTTATTTCTCGGTTGTGGACTTATTTTGCATTTTTTACCATCAATTAAGATAATTATTGTATTTCAGTCATCAGCCTATATTTACAGTCTGTCCTGTGCACACACAGAGCAGGGGGGTCGAGGACAGCTGGTTCCTTCCCTCACAGCAGGCGGTAATAACATTGTAATCCTGCCATTTCCAGTTTTTGAAATTGCACCAGCAATCTGATTATTCCTCTATAACAGTAAGGGAACACAGGTAACATTTGCCACTGACTGTAACACTGTGCTTGGCCTCCCATGGCCCCCGTCCAAAATAATACATCTATGATAATGCAATTTATGCGGTTGCAGCAAAATATGTGCTGTAACCTGTAGATGTTGTTTTTTTCCAGTAATGTCATTTAATACATTTAAACTAAGTTACTAAAACAAATGTTGTGACTAAAACAAATGCCAACAAATAAAAAGAAATACAATAAAAACTAAGTTTGGCTGCATAAAACATTATATATTACCCCAAACTCCTTTTAATGTGCTGAATCTTGGGCCAAATTCAATTTAAAAAGTAACAAAAAAATTATAACTAAGTCACAGACACGAACTCTGTTACTAAATGAACAATTATGGCATTTATATTTTTGTATGCGCTATACTAAACAAAAAATGTTAAAATCTTGAAGATTGTCTTTGTCTCCTTTTTCCCGCATTAAATGTGCTCCTCTCATTCAATTATTGACCCCATCCCAGCCCCCCAAGTAATTTAGAACCACCACTGGTTACAGCAGTTTAAAGTGAAGGAGTTTAAATGAATAGGATGGAGGTCGCAGATTCACTGTGAAGTTAACATGATCTTATTTCATAATATCACATGTTTAGTCAAAGCAGAGTTAGTGACAGACAGCAGCACACGTGGAACAGAACATAAAATGATCATGGTTACTCAGACATGGAGTAGCATTTACAGTCATTCCATATCCAAACAGTTAAGTTACTTCTTCGGTTTCCTATTTCATCTAAGTAATTTACATTTTCCCATGCTTTAATATTGAACAAATAATTTATCAAAGCATGCACAAAGGACAAACAAAAAACATTGCAGAAGACCTGAGAAAAAGCACTTTTACCTCCATTAATATGACACATTTCTCTAAAATATTTTCTCTGGAAAGATTAAAAACTATAGTCTGAAAAAGTAATTAGCTATCAGACAAATGTAGTGCAGTAAAAAATGAAATATAGATAGATAATAATAATAGAAATTATATTTGACAATACATTTTTAATCTACTGTCATTTTATCAACATCTAGAATCACATGGAGTGTGGCTCCCCCTGGTGGCTGCTGTTGCAGGAGCAATATAACTTATACTTCTTTTATTTTGCTTTTAATACTGCGTGGCATTGTGAGGTGCTTCATTTTGTTCAAACATTTCCAGAATTACATTTCTATTCTATCATTGTGAATATATTACCTGTATCGATAAATAACATCAGGTTCATTTACAGCTGGTGCATGACAAAAGCAAACAATAATACTTCAAAATCCAATAAATAAAATAAAAGTCAATACTTTGAATTGTACAGTTACAGTTTTTCTTTTCATTGCTACAGTTAAAAATTGTCTTAACAATAAATGTATTTAGGAAAAGTCAGCTCCTGATTCAAGTGAGTAAGTGCAATATTGTTGGACACAGGGAGAAATGTTATCTAAAATGTGTAATGATTGGCAATGGCTCTAAAACTTCACATTTGAGCCCATTTCCACAAGAAAATGTTCTGTCAATATGTCTCAGCAGGTATGATTAATCTGACAAAACAATTTTGTTGTATTCTTCTCATGATGACAAAGATATTTTGATTATTTCCCCCATGTAGAGCATGCATTTCACACATGCTTGGAGAATGTTTTAATTAGGCTAGCTCCCAGACCTGATAAAAAGTAAATCGGTTCATTAAATGATCTGTGAGATTATCTTAAAGTGGACCTATTATGCTATATTGGAAAAATATATTGTAGGGCCATACCTATACAAAACATGTCTGTGAAGTTTTTTGCTTAAAATACCAAACAGTTCACCCATTGTAGCCATGCCTCATACTGCTCATACCCCTCTTTCACACCAACGCGGTTCCAGGGCCGGTTCGGAGCTGGAGCTTGAAAAGCACCGGTTTTTCCTGTTCACACCGCAGCGGAGCCGCCTCTACGGTTAGTTTCAAGCACCAAAAAGTTGTCGGTCTAGAAAGCAAGCACCGCATACGTCACGCTTACGTCGGAGGCGGGGGCAGGGGCATCCGTTTTAATGTTAAACCATAGTCATTAATGCTGCAAAGCTGGGTATTTTGAGCTTGGCGCATGCACAGGCTAACAACAGCTAGCTCTAACGCCATCGAATAGGACGTATATTTACCTTCTTTCTCCTACGGAATCGTCGTTGAAGTTGATGATGATGATTGTAAAGAACTTTTGAATGTAGCATGTAACGACTGTAAAGTTGGTAGTAAAGTCGTCCCATTTCTTCCATTTCGTTTCGGCAGAGCAAAACGAGTAGCGCTTCAATACAATCGGTCATTGTTGTTGTTGTCGATGTGAGGGGTTTCCGCGCGGTTTGGCTTTATGAAGCAGGCACGCAAACAGTTACGTCATGACGCAAACGATGACGCTATGACGCAGCACCAGTCGGGCTCTGAGCGGTGTGAACAGAGCGGGAGCTGAACCGAAGAACTAGTTCCGAACCAGAAAAGCTCTAGCACGGAGCTAGAACGGGAAAAGCCTTGGTGTGAAAGGGGCAGAAACGCGGATTTTGGGTCCTTAGCTTGGAGAAAAAAAAAAAAGAGGAGGCGGAGCTAATGCCTGATCAGAATTCTACCGGAGATAAAGTTAAATTCTGCTGTGATAAAACGCCATCCTGTTCTAAACCACATCAAGGATTATTTCTGAAACAGTATGGAGCTCAAATGCTTTTTGTCTTGCGGGTTTATCACAAGGTGAGTTCCTTTTCTTATTTCCTGCTTTTTAAACACATGTGCTCTACAGTACAGGTTAGCTCTGAGTGTTAGCAAGGCTTGCTAATGTAAACAAAGACGAGATTACGTCCAAAACACGTCAGGCATTGTTTCTGATAGCAATTTTCTGTGGGTCCGCTGCCGAATTGACGTCAGATTGGCAGCAAATCTGTATCCGCTCGTTGTACCCCTGTTTTTAAAAGATTTGGGTACGGAGGAAAAGAGAGAGAGTTTTATTTTCTGACGCTGCGTGAGTTCCCCGATGCACCGGGGACACATATTTATGTATAAAAGACATCACAAAGTGCATTTTGCATGATAGGTCCCCTTTAACCTGTTAAGCACCAAGCCTGTTTTTCATGTTTCAGGCTCGAAAATGACATGCCCAAAACAAATGACTACAACTTAACTTCTAAAAGGGTTATATGAATAATTTATTTTATCAAAGCAAGGTTACATCTGTGAGTTGGATGTAGAAGTGTCAGAATCAATATAGATTTTTCTCAGTCAGAATAAATTCAGATGGAACATGGTAAAAAAAGGTAAATTCTTACCTCCGCCAAAAAAAAACCCATTACTTATAGTGAAAACCATGATGGGATGGTAGACTAAAAGCTTTAGGAATCCAAAGTACAACATATAATAAGTACCCTGTATCGAGATTGATGCAAAACAAGTGATATTTGACCTTTTTAGCCAGGTTTAGAAAAAAAAACCCACCTCTGGGGTGATTTGGGTGTAAATGGAGGTTTTTACAGTTTCTCTGGAACCCATTGGTCGATTTTGGTGATTGTAATCTCTTCCTGACCGTTAGAGCCAATAGAATCGAAAGGGGGTTTTCACATAGACACCAACATTAACACAAAAAGGTGGGGGCTTTGCGCATGCAGGCTTGCATCAGAGTGAAGCGATCTCTCGCTCTGACATCTGGAAACGGAAAAGCAGTTTTATTGCTTATGGATTATCAGAAATCATTTCAAAGAGGACACAGACACATTGGATTAACCTATGGATTAACTGCAGCATCATTTTTTATCGTTTTAATGCCATTGAAGACCAGTTTTGACCAGACAAAGACCAAGGTAAGCCATGTTAGTGTTTGTAGCTACCTAGCGCCAAATGTTTTGATGTACGTTTTCATTTATAGAGTCGCGAGTTTGTATCACTGAGTGTTGAGGTGGGCACCCATCGATTCTGTGTCTCCAGACGATGCTAATCGATGGGTTGGCTGTGCATCTAGGATAAGTAATAAGGGAGTTATGAGTGAGTTTCGGTGCAGTGATAGGTTAGCATTTTTTCGCTCGTGGCTAATTCAGAGGCTGAGTGTTAGCATTGTGGGTTTTTTTTGGAAAAAAAAATTAAAAAGATCAGTTAGCTGAGTTTCTTCCCGTTACATGCATATAAAACATTCATAGTTTATTAAATATTAAGATTCCTTAGACGTTGTTTCCTAGGGGGGGGCGGTGCGTAAGAGGTTAATATAAAATGAACATTTGACAGATGTGAATGCT